TTGGTATAAGTATAGAGCTATGGCTAATATCATTTTACATCATGTAACTATTTTTTTTAATGTTTAGTAATTAAAGTTTTAATTGATATCTGGCATATCTTCTTCATCTTCGTCTTCTGTTTTTATTTTCTTGGTATTATTTTGTCTAAATATTAAAACAGTTGGACTATAACATTCAAAATTTAATGTTGTTGTCAAAAAGTTGCATATAAAAATCAGGCTTATGGCTACAGTGTTTAGCTCTGCTCAAATGTTTTTCTAATTTTCATGAATTTTTTTGCCGCAACTGCCCAAGTTACACAAATATCTAATTATCAGTAAATTTTAGACCACAAAAAAGTGGCAATCTAATTTGGCATTTTTTGTAAATCACTTTTTAATGCTTAAACTGTTTGTTGATTTACCTTGTATCAGTTTCAGCTAGTTTTCTTTTACCTTTTTTGATACATCAGTTATAAAAAAGTTATACATTAAATAATTTATTACCTCTTATTTTAGTAACTGGTGTATTGGATATATCATCAACTGGAGATGGTAGTACAGTATGTGAACTGACATTATCAGATGTAGAATGACCTAATGTATTGAGATATAATGACTATGCTATTAAGTATGCACGCACACACTCACCTAACTGCTAAATCTATCTAATAATTTAGCATAAAAATTAATTCTAGTGAATACAATATATTTTATGGTCACACATAAAAATAAGTCACTGAAATAGATCTTATATAGGTATAGATTTGGCATTTATCACCAAATTCCAAGAATTTCTAACTTTATTAATATCAGGCCTGACAATGCTAAGGCCTTAGTAAGTTGGCCACATATGCCTACACATTTAACTTACCTATATATTCCAGAAGGTTAGATTTTGCTTTGCCCAGTTTACCAGGATACTTGTCACACAGTTTTATTAATGTATCCCAATTGACATCTCTATCAGCATCAAACCACCTCTCGAATACAATAATAAGATTGTTAGTTGCTTGTCCTGATATTTGTGTCAGATCAGACACATTTACACCCAATCCAGTCCCTATTAGCTTGTAATGGCAAGCAGAAGAATCGAATATCTGTGTTACTGCTGCAGAGTCAATCTTGTTTCCTAAAATAATAAAATAGGATATAGTTTTTCTAGTAATTATGAAATAAAATGAAATATTGAAATATGAAATATTGTTAATTGTACACTTCTCCTGGTACTTGTCAAACTCTCCACTTAATTATCAGGGTTGATATATTATTTACATGTCTAATTGTATAGTTGGCAATTTTAGAAATGGAAAATTTAGTTTTTCCAAAATCAGACCCACCATTTTGAAGCACATTTACCTTCATCAATCACTTTCAAAAAATCAAATTATTTTAATAGAGGTCAAAGGTCAGTATATACACACAGTATTATCACTTACTAGCTCCTCCAGTGGATGATACTGATGTTGATTCATGTACTACATTAGAGGAGGAGGTAGTAGGATCTGGTTAATGTTAAATAAATAAACAATTTTAAATCATTTGTATCTATTACCTGTTGAAGGAAGAGGAGGAGGAGGAGGGGGAGGAGGAGGGAGAGGAGGAGGAGGATTTCTCTGTAGTGATCTACGGATGTATAATGAAACAGGATCAGCCACACCTTCCAGTGGTATGGAATAATGTAGTGTAGGGACAGCACCAGGTGATCCATAAACTGATATCAGACAAGATGGAGGAAGAGGATAATTAGCTTCACCGAATTTGTTAACAATATGTCGATGTAACTATCATAAGAGATAGAATGGATATTGTATTATACATTATACATACTGATATTCTTACCCTGCATGGTTTCATGTGAGGGTCAATAGTCCAACCAGTAATATCCTTCTCTTGTTCAGTACCAAACTTTAGCTCAATACATCCATCATTATCTTTGAAACAAAAATAAACATGCTGTCCTCTCTCAGCTCTAGGAGAATCACTTTTAATAAACTGTAAAATGTTAATCAAAATTGATATACAAAGAACACACTTACCTCAATGAGAGTGTTCAAGTCTCTGACTGCAGCAAATGTGACCAAATCCTCTACACCTTTCTCTTCATAATAAATAAGACCAGCATATGTCATAGCCTCCTTTACACCAGTGGACTGCAGTACTTTTGATAAAATAAATTATTAGCATATGATGGTGAGATAGGACATGTACTTACTGTTAACATGATCAGTGTTTGGTGTAGTAGTAGGATCAGCAACAGACACTGTATTGGTTGGGAGGTTAGTCTCTTTAGTAGACTCTATTCAGTAGTGGAATACATTACATTATCATCAATAGACTCACTAACTAACCTTTACATGCTCCGCTAGCCCCTGGTTGTCCTGTACTGCTGGTATCATCATCATCATCACTGTCAATATTATCATCATCATGATCATCACTTCTTCCATTAGTCCATTCTTCTCCCAGTATGCAAACCAAACAGAACTCTTTACGTTCAATGAATCCATACCCACTATTAGAGCTAAACTCTCCTCCCTCAACTATTGAGAAGAGGTAAGGAAGACTGGGTGTGCTCACGGGAGCTATGGCAAACTTAAGATGACGACTAAGAGCTGGTCGTCCTTTTAAATCAACGCAGTGCTGTATTTCTAACTTGAGTCGTTTGAGGAGAGGCTTTGAGAGTGATACTGCATACACAGCACTCACTAGGACAGTATTAGGAGGAAACTGGAACTGTCCTCCTACAAGAGCAACCACTGCTGCTTCTACTGTCTCAGAGGACAGTAAGCTCTCTTTCTGTACTCCGATCCTTAGACCATATTTCTCCCAATTCATCAGTTGAGGTTTGTCCCCTTGAATTAAGAACAGATTCTTCTCTGCTACCTGGACATCACTCAGACGATCCAACTTATCTATCAATACAAAATAATTATGATACATGTACATTGTGTACACAATAATACTCTTACCCATTGAAGGGATCAGGTAATTAAATTGTAGTCCAATGGAACTAGTCTTTTTGATGGATTGTTCCTCTAAGGATGTGACTCTCTCCTGTAGTTGTGACTTCTCATTCATTAGTTTGGCTATATGCGATTCATTATCAGACACTTTAGCTCTAAGGTCTATAGAATATTAGTATACTTATAGCTAATTGATGATGATACACTAACCAGTAATGATCTGTTTCTCATTCTGTGATTGTTCCTCTACTTGTGATGTCAGTTTGGCTATAACTTTGTCTTTCTCAGAAATGTCAGTTTTGAGATTTTGATTGTCTTCTACATAATAAATATTATTCTTTCATCTGTTTTTACATGCTGTGTATATATTTAACTAACCAATAATGCTCTGTTTCTCCTTGAGATATTGTTCCTCTAACTGTTTTTTCTCTTCTTCCATTTCTCTCTTCTCTTTCAACATTTCTATTATATGTACTTCTTTATCAACAACTTTAGCTTTAAGTTTCTCATAATCTTCTACATTAATAGAATATTCTCTCATCTAATATCATGTACTGATGATACACTGACCAGTAATAATCTGTTTCTAATGAAATAAAATGTATCCATTAAAAATAATCATTTAAAAAAATTTTGTACATGTATGATAGTTCTAACAAAAATCAAATGTATAGTTCATCACCCTTACCATAATTTGTTTTGTTGGGTCACCCTCCCCTGGTTGATTATCCAAGCACTGTAGTACAAATCTTGCACACGAGACAGCTCCAAATGGTTGCCACATTTTGTCTTTTTCTTCTGTTCCCCAGTCAACGATAGCTTTTATTACGATCCATTCAAATCCTCCTCTTTCTGCAGCCTTATAAATACCTTTTGCTTCCATTTCTCCTCCAAGTGCTCGTTGCACATATTTTAATTTTTCTTCTTTTGCTTCTTTGCTGCAAAACAGTGTGAATTCAGAAGCCAGATCACCTTGATGATGAACTTTAACTGTTTTACCTTGAAATTCAAAGACTTCGTCATGTTTGAACAGTTTAAAAAGATTCTTTCCACATGGGTATGTGTTAGTTAAAACTGCTGTATCTTTTCCTTCAATACACTGATGTGCAGTGTCGACAATACTTTTGGCAACGATAATGTCACCAAAATTTTTTTTATCACTGAGTTCCTCAGTTTTGCTCTCCTTTGCTCCATAGCATATCCCAATAGCAATGACAAAATCAGCTTTTACGTCATTTTGTACTGAAACAAGAATATCTTCAGTCTCATCTGGGCCCTGGCCTGTCCTAGTTATTGCAACATGACACAGCCCAAATTTTGCCATGATAAAAATTGCCACTTTATCTTTTGTGATAACTCTAACGTAATTACAATCAGATCCAGGAGGATCAGCGGCACCCATCACAGCACGGTATTCTATAGGTGTGGCAGTCACCAGAATGTAACGGACTTTTTTTATAAACTCTTTCTCTTCTTTGGTCAGATCCCTGAATTTTTTATTTTTTATTTTTTCCTCAATGTCCTTCAGTTTTGGGCAATATTTACTGACATCTGGAGGTGGATCTGACTCTATTGTTCATGTTAATTAGAAACTATCAAATTATTCTAACATACTTTGGTCCTCACTTTTACTCTTGTCTTCACCAGCTGCTGCACTATCAACTGGTTCTCTGTCAATGCAATGATATAGTTCAAATTATATATTCAAGAATACTAAATACTTTGAAGTAGTCTTTTCTTTTTCATCACTTGCTTGTGTTGCCCCTGCATTGCTTTCTGCCAAGCCTGCTATAGAAAATGAATTAATGACTAGTTTATTTTTATGATTTATTCTTACCTATATGTGCCAGAAGGTTAGTTTTTGCTTTGCTAAGTTTATCAGGATAGTCATCACACAGTTTTATTAATGTATCCCAATTGACATCTCTATCAGCATCAAACCACCTCTGGAATACAAAAATAAGATTGGTACTTGCTGTTCCTGGTATTGGTGTCAGATCAGCCACCTTTACACCCAATCCATTCCCTATTAGCATGTAATGGTGGGCAGAAGAAGCAAATATCTTTATGACAGCTACCATATTAAGCTCTTTGTCTATATAATTATAACAGATAGATTTATAATATAGAGGCTTTATATGTAAAACAAATTAATGAATAATTATTTTATTATTTTTGAAATATTTTTAATTTTTTCCTCTACAAAAATGAATAATTTGTATCACACATAGTTTTATTTTTTGTAATACTTGGTGTATTGGATATATCATCAACTGGTGATGGTAGTACAGTATGTGAACTGACATTATCAGGTATAGACTGACCTAATGTATTGAGATATAATGACTATATTGATCACTGATAATGTACACACACACACACTCACCTAACTGGTGTAATATAGAGGTAGCAATATCTGTTAGTGTACGATGTTGTTGGTTTATTAATACATGACATATATCAATAAGATACTGCTCTGGAATAAGACAGCATTCCAACTGTAGTTGTATCACAGATACTAATTGACTTGATTTAACCACATCAGAAGAAGCTGCTGTTTGAATATTATTAACAGTTTCCATTGGTATCAGTCCTTCAGCATACAGTCCATTAGTTACTTTGTAAAGATTATTAGCAATAGCATCAACAAGAGTAGCATAATTCATCCTTAATATAGCATTAGGAGTGTTACCTGCAGTAGTGTATTAGTTATATAGTGTTGTATTAAGTGTATGTTTACCTGTTACAGGACCAGGATTAACATTACTAGTACTGACTTCCATATCATCGTTAGTACTTCTTCCAGCTGTGGGATCTGTCACTTTGTCTTCAATAGTTCTAGCTAGTTCATTCTCTTTACATTGTTTCAAAGCATTAATGACATCTCTCCATGATGCTGTAGGATTAACTTGTAACCATCTCTTATGTAAAGCCATTTTCATGAGGTGAGCATTTCTTTTTGTTTTATCAATTATATTGACATCAGATTGTGTTATTCCAGGAAGACAAAGAGCAAATGGTTTCCAGTCAACAAGTGGTTTAAGACACTTTGCAAATAAGAAACAAGATGGTTGATCATCAATCATAGGACCAGGATTGAGTTCAACATCTCCTGATAAGAGGAGCATACGTAGACAAACAATCAAATAGAGATCATTGTAAATCAGGTTAGAACTGCTGCCTCCAGGTAAGACTACTGACTGGAGGTAATTTGTATCAGTAACAGTAACACCAGTAGTACATTGTACTTGGTAGCAGTTACCTAATAATAAAATACCAGTAAATATACAAGTACAAAGTTGCAATTGCTGTTAACCTGTTGGAGGAATCATCAAGATGTGTCTTAATAAAGAGAGAGAGAGAAAGAGGAGGAGGAGTAAAGCAATAAGAGACAGAGCTGCTGGCAGTTTAGATGTCTTCTCTCCTGATGTAGTACTGCCTGACTTGCTGTCTACTGCAGCTTTGAATGAGTGAGAGTGGCGGCCAATAGCTGGTCTACTGGAGGCAGCTTGACAGTAGTTCCACAGTCCAATACTTGCTCTCCATTGAGAGACATCAATCATCTTGTAATTATTGGTGAAGTTTCGTTGCAAAAAAAGCAGTTCCTCTATCATAATAATGTAATGTTTACTGTCACATGACGGTGACTGCTTGTATTACTCTACTACTGTTATTATTGGCATTTCAGTTATTATGCCCAAATATGGTCAACTATATGTATACCAGTATAAAGAATGTGTGTGTGGTAATAGTAGTACATGTATATAGCTAAAGGGCCAGTACAGCAAGTATAACACACACATATACATGTAGATGTACATGCATGCATTATATTATTCATAAAAGATCATATATTATTGTTCAAAAGGTCACCTATTACTGGTCAGATGAAGCACTATATCATACTGCTAGTAGTGTACATTGTGTAGTAAGGGGAGGGCATAGTTTGTATATCATACCATTTCACTCTTCACTATTTGCTCTTTGGTACATGTATCTTCCTTTTTGATGTAATTTTGCTACATTTCCATCTCTCCCTCACTTTAT